AACATGGGATGTTTAATAATGTTTAGTGTCAAAATTCTGCCGCTAAACAGTCATTCTCCCTCTGCTTCTCTGTTTTCTTTGGGCTCCAGCTGTTCCATATCTCTTCTGATTAGCTCTTCTGGTTCTTTGTCGATGTGTCAAACCCCATCCTCAATGCATTTAAGCTCCTAGTTATTTACATTGTTAATCCTCCCATAACCCCGTATTCAATGACTTGTTTCTACTGAAATCCTTGTAATTTTATTGTAACATTCTTGCAACTTTTAATTATTAAACAAATTTTTTTGCTGCAGCCTCTTCCTGTACTTGAATCTTTTCCTACCAAAAAAACATGACAGTTGAGTCATTAATACTTAGGTTTACTCAACAAAGGATGGGCGCAATGTTCTCTTAAGTGAGAAATAAGTGTGTGTGTGTGTGTGTGTGTGTGTGAGGGATGATGGAGGAGGATTCAAGAGCAGATAAGGCAAAGCCGTCACAGTCACAACTGACTGTTAAGGAATAAATCCCTGCTGCCTCTCTCTCTTTCTCTTTCTTGCTCTCTTTTTTAACTCCATCCTCTATCCTCTCCCTCCTCCAGCTTGCTGCTCTCCTATCTCCCCTCTTCTCCTCATTTCATCTCAACTTGGAACTATCAGCGCATTCATTTTTTAATGACACTCATTGCAGGCGCTCAGTGTCTCTCCCCCCGTCTGCCTCTGCTCCCAGCTCCCCTCTTCACCACCTGTTAGTCTCCCATCTCCTCCCCGCTCTGGAATCCCCTGTTTTTCCCTGTTTTTTATGAGGAGTTTCACGCTCGTTCTTTCTCTGAGGTAAGCCAATATTTTTGTGCATTTATTTTAGAAATCCACCCAGACTGACTCTGCTTTGGAAGCATGAAATATTGACAGAAATTGCTTCAAATTTGAACATCTCTATATTACCTGTTTTACCCTCCATTTTTTTCTCTATATGGATAAACGAAACCCTTAGACCTTTTCTTCTACTGTCTCCCAGAGCAGACAGATGCAACATGTGTCTGATGTCAAGTCTTTCTCTACTTTCCTCCTTAAATTGTCCACCAAACCCACAAGCATTTGAAGTTTACTCATCCCTGAGAATAACTTGTCTTCCAACAGACATGCCTTCTCTGCCACTGTGCTAAGGTATAAATTGTGCTCCCTATTACAGTCTAACAAGTAGCTACAGTGTGAGGCATTGTGCCATGCCATCTGCCTGTCATTCCGAGAGCTTGTTATTTAAAGGTGAATGGAGATACCTGCAGGTGCCTATTGTACGCATGGTATAAGTGGAAGATACCTTTTTGCAGCAACAGGTGAAGTGAAGAATGATGGAGAGATAATGAGAGGATAAACAGGGGGGGAATAGGGATGAATTTCTGACAGTGAAGACAAGAAGGTAGGGGCTGAGAGAGTGTGAGTGCCCCATGCTTGTCATATGATTCTAATTTAAAGTGAAGGAGCTAAAAGAAGAGGGAGGGGGAGGTCGCATGTTGCACAGAGATGTTTCTGACTGCCGGATGCAAGCTTTCTCTGTCTCTGTCTGTTTGCTGGAAACCTATGTAATGTTGCAAACCCAAGGTGGGGGAATGCATCTTCTGTTTGCAGACATAGAAACTACAGATGTGGCAAATGTCTGCAGGATACAAGCTGGGATATTATCTGCATATATTCATTTATTTGAAATTATTGCATAATAAGTTTTAAAGAAAGTAAAGCCACCTTATATTTCTTTATTTTATTGGAATAAAATCAAAGTTTGGGCAATAGTTTGGTGTGGTTTTATGGAAGGTCTATGGAACTGAAAAGATGTTTTGGTCCATTATTTGGACCAGATTTTAAACTGTTTATGATATCATAGACTCTTTTGGTGAGAGAAATTAAGATACATTTTTTTTTTCTATTTAGATACCAGGAATTTTTATTCTTTTTATTCTTTGTCCTCTCCCAGTGATGAAATGTTTCTTTGGTTTCTCTGAATGTTTTGGTGCAACACTCCCTGAAATACCTAAGAACAAACTAGCAGAGGGTTTTTTATATTTAATCTCCTCATCTCTTCTAAATATATGTGGTATCATGCACTCTAAAAATGTTCCCTTTACAGTTTAGAGAGAAATAGGCCCATAGCATTACAGATACTCCACCATGCGCAACAGTTGGTGTGGGAGTATTTTCCTCATCCATTTACATCAAACATGCCTAAAGGATAAACTCCTAACTCAGTTTAATGTAAATAAAACGCACAATTCCAATTAAACTCTAAAATGTCTGACATTAAATTCTTATATTTTAGATGGACGCATTTTACGAAAATATCTGCACAAGGTAAGAATATAAGAAAAAATTATGGGAACATTTTTTAATAAACAGAACATGAATAAACACAAGAGTGAGCACAATGAGAATGAAACTTAGAAAAACACTAAACCAAAACGACAAAGTATTAATAGAGAATTAAAGTCTGACCAGTTTAAAAGGTTTCAAATTAAGAAATTTACATTTTTAAAGGTTTGCCCAGAGTACTAATGGCTCTGATACTGGAGATTTCTTAACATTAGACTTTCCCAATGAATAAATTTTATCATATTGGATTCTTTAGCAACTCCTTTCATAGACATTTTATCGAAGCCTTGCTTATACAATGTCGAATCTATAGTCTGTAGATCTGAGTTTTTCCACCAGAACTTACAAAAGCTTGGAGAAATGTTTCCTTGCCAGAAACTGATGAGCAACTGAGCGTTAGGGTGATGGCACAGCAAGATATTTTTTTGCTTGTATGCCAACACTTTTTCAATGAGCGAGAGCATGACGGGAATAATGGGAGGGCCTCCAGCTGGCAGCGTGAGGGTGATCAATCATCAGCTCCCAGAGAGCCTCTGGTTCCCAGAGAGCTCTGGGACCCGCAGGCTTTCTCCTGATGTACTCGTGCTCCTGGTGCTGCTGCTTGTGCTCAAGCTGCTCTAGCTCAAGGCCACATCTGCCAGAACCAGGAGCCGAATGACTGCACACATCATGTCAACAGATTTTACGCTCACAAAAAGGCATAATGTGTGTGAATGCAGAAAGTAACGATCAGACGAAAGTGTGGCTCCATTTATCTTTGCACATGTGTGTGTTTGATGAATTATACATTTAACCAAGGATTATCATTATGCAGACTGTTAAGTTTATCTATCTTTAAATCCATTCTAACATTCATAACAGAAGCAGCATTAACTTACTTGCTATGCAATCAGACAATTCAGATCATATCCAGAAAAAGGGTTAGTTGTTAGTTTAATTTTGCTAAGTTTATTTTTTATACACTGATAAGAGTTTTGATTTATCGCTTTGCATTATTTATACAGAAGTAGACAAACTTATAAAAGGCTGAAGGTTGTTTCTGCAACTGTTAATTGGGCAATAACTAAAATTATACAACAACTCTTGTGTGACAAAGTTATTCTATCACTCCTTTATGAGACCGAAATAGTCGCTGATGGTTTTATAAAGTCGGCTTTTCCATCATCTTCCATCCCTGAGCCAGAAGACTGCCAAAGTCCTTTCAGTCTAATGAGTGAGGGAAGCTGGCGTTTTGACACGTTTCAGCGTATTTCAGACGGCAGTTTCATCACCAGCCAAGCTAAAGCTGGATGAGCTGCAGTGCATCTCACCCACCGCTGAGTTCACAACAGAGGAGGCTCGACCGCGGATCACGAGTGACCCCGACTGCTGGTAATTTCGCCGAAGGTCAACAGTCAGGGGGAGCAGTTTCAGAGTCACTTTCTGCCGGGGCATTGCTGCTCAGATTAACTTCATCATGATGAATGAATGTGTATCTAATTTTTGTTGTTGTTTTCAACCCTGGAGGAGAAAGTTTACAGCAACAAAACAAACAGGATACAGTATGGTGTGACTAATCTGATGTTAAAGAAGTAAATTTTAGGAAAATAGACTTGGTTTTTGAGCAGAGAGCATTCTACGGTTGGTTATCTAGCAATTCATACTCTAAACCAGGTTGCAATTCAAGGAGACAGTTTTGCCCTTATTCTCAATGAAAACGTTTATCTAGAGCTGTTAAACCTCCATTAAACCCTTTGTCTAGTTGTAAACACACTATATTAATTGTCAGTATTAATTAAGAAAACAACTTTATATATCGGTTTGGTTTAAAAACAAAGAAAAAGGTCAAGCCTTTCCAATAAACCGACAATTTTCCTGACTGAAACATTACATATGGGAAATAAAAACAGAATGTGAAGCTGCAGCATATTGATGAAAGAAAGAACTGAAAAAAAACAAATACCTTTTTCTGCAGTGGAAATCTTTTTTTTTTCTAATATAGCATGAAAAAAAAAACATAGTAAACATACTAGAGCTAGCCTTTTATTTTATCTTTATATCTTAAAATATATCTCATGTCTTTAATAATTTTAGCCAAAGTCATGAAGAGCCACTGTGGAGGGCTTACAGAGCCAGTAACTGCTGTCCTCTAGTCTTTTCACTTATCCTTTTGGCTTCACTGAAGGGCTGTTGCTTCTATCCAGTGGGTGAGCCTGTCCATCACAGGGCAACAGGAACATACCAGAATACAACAATCCTTGTAAGCTCAGACGTGAGGAGACCACAGACCAATCTACCCAGCGGTCATATTTTTAGAGGAAGCTGGAGTAACCAGAAAGAATCCACAGATACACAGGGAGAGCCGTACATACTGCATGCAGAAAGGCCCCCTTCCAGCAAGCCCTCTGCTATAGCTGAAGAATGTCTGCCAGCATGTTGCTACGCTTTATTTTTTTTCTCAGAATAGCACTGAAAAGTCTACACTGCAATACCTTTTATAGGAGCATAAATACAAAACACTTCAAGACTAAATGTTTCCTGAAAGACTGAGGTGGCAAAAGGGGTTCAAAGCTGTTACATTCCTGAGCCAACAAGTGAGGCACTGAAGCCCTTTTTTCTCTTAAGAATCATCACAGCAACACTAAAAACAAGATACTGCTTGCAAAGACAAAAAAAAAAAAAAAAAAATATGACGCTGTATGAAGAAACTCCTTCAATACTGTGTTTAACACGTAACTGAATTAATTTGAACTTCTGTAAAACTATTGAAGACATAAAATATTTGTTGTTTTTAACCAATATCAATTTTAGATATTTAAACATTGCTTCAATGTATTTACGTCTAACAACATTTTTTTAAGGTAATTTTAGTCACCTTACAGAAGGGCGAGGTCCTCAGCTTACAATGACAGTTTGAACAATGTTACTCTAGGGAAGACCTCATTACAGCATGTCAGTTTGTTATGCATTAAATATCATTATTAAAACAAATGAGACAGAACATGTTAATGCAAAAACTTAATAATAATCAACAAAAACTGTCGTTTTCACAAATAATCTATTATTTTTTGATGATGGTACAAAAAAGGCAAATTAGGTTGAATTTTTTTTACTAACTCAAAATATGTTTTTTTTTTTAAGAGAGAAGCTCTTTAATTAAAGGGGGAAAAAAACTGGAGCAAAACATCAGACTCTGAACAAATGTAAAATTTATGGGAAAATCCTAAAAATGTTAAATCTTCATTATAATTTTCATACATGACCAAAATTATCAGGGTGGTTTATTGAACAATTGCAATTAATATTGAAAAGTTCATTTATTTAAATAACTTTATTAATTAATTGAAACTCATTATATGGATTAATAAACCTTTATATTAACTATACTCATTGAATTTTAAAAAGTGACATTTAAAACAGTAGAAAAAGAATATTACATCCGATTATTACAGCAGAATATTTTAATACACATATAAAGTATGCTTAAAGGTCATTATTAACTGACAAACAAGCCTCATCTGTCTTGGCACACTTTTACCCCAAAATGTGCAGCCAGTTTGTCTCTTGGATCATCTGTTATTGCTTCATCCCACTGTGGAGACACAGGCTGGTTTATCTGGCTGAGGGAGAGAGACTCCTTTAGACAACTAGAGATGTGAAGAGAAACAAAGAAAAAACGTCTAAGCAAGTAGGGCGAATGATAATCAGATATTTAACTGAAATGAAATTTAAACTTGCTAAGAAACATGCAAAAAGAAAGAGGAAACTGGCAAAAGAATTGGGTAAGACCTTTTTGTACATAATTAAAGTAGTAAATACTGAAGACAAAGCAAAAAAAAAA